AGGAAGAGGGAAAATGTTCTTCAGTGACTATAAAATGGCAAATCTTTCAGTCCGATGACCGCACTAGGGTCATGTAAAATATTACCTGGATCCCTTTGACCCGCGTCATAGCACATACAGCTACATGGCTATGGTACTTCTGGGTGTCTAGGTGTTGTACACTGTAAGCACTGCACGAAAAGTGGGATTTGCCAAAGGTGGTAAATGCCAGGTGTTTTCAGTAATGGTTTCTTTTGGTATTTGCTTCTTTAACCAAAACATTATGAGATTTTCCTGCCATCTATCGCAATTCTTAGGGTAAACATTAACTTGGACAAACCGGGCAGAATTCCCTGGGATTTGACTTTTTGTGAACTGTGGAGAGCCACAGAAAAAGACGGAAGTCCCGCTGAACTGTACAAGCATCTGGAATGAAGAAAGTATACCTGCGTATCTTCCTGATGCCACAGAAGCAGTACTGTACAAGAACTAAGGAAATCCCGCTTTGTGGACCGGTAACACCGATATTTGTACAAAATAATGTACCAAAATATAGCATTTACCTAGTATAGTATAATGTCGCCACCTAAATCAACCGTTACTAGGCTTACCAGCATTTATCTTCGTTGGTAAATCCAAATTTCCATGCAGTGCAGTTATGTAGCTTAGAATCTTTATACGTTTTACATGGTGAGAGCTGAGCAGCATTGCCCCCTATCAAGTTATCTCCGTACTACAATTTGGCTTATGCATGACATATCACACTGGGTAACGTATCATCAATAACATTTTCGTGCGCTCGCACATTTCGAAAAAAATGTCAAACTGGTCTAAGAAGACCACTCGGGGACCGAGGAAAAGTTGTCTTCTTAGACAAGTGGTCTTTTTGTACCAAAAGCATGGCGACAAGACAAGGGTTAGGTTTGGAGTTAGGGTTAGGGTTAGGGTTAGGGTTAGGGTTAGGGTCAGGGTCAGGGTTAGGGTTAGGGTCAGGGCCAGGGCCAGGGTTAGGGTTAGGGTTAGGGTTAGGGTTAGGGTTAGGGTCAGGATCAGGGTTAGGGTTAGGGTGAGGGTCAGGGTTAGAGTCAGGGTCAGGGTCAGGGTTAGGGTTAGGGTCAGGGTCAGGGTTAGGGTTGGGGTCAGGGTTAGGGTTGGGGTCAGGGTTAGGAGTTGGGATAGGCAAGGCCTATAGACAGAAATAAAAGGTTAACTGATGTTTCAATTCTATGGGAAATAAAATCCGGACCGATAAAAATGGTCGTCATGGCCGGATAGTCGGCTTGTTTGGTTGTGCAAGTTTTAATACAATTTACATATTATTAAGCTTATCACTAACTTAACTTTCAAATTTCTTTTTAAAAAGATCTGTCTTGATTGTTATTGTCTTATGATATAATTTATTTTCATTGTGTGGCATATTTGTCTACTCCCCTAATGTAGTAGTTCACATGGCCATACTGATAGAGTTCGATATATTTGCAAATTTTTATTTGTAATTGTGGTTCATGTAAATGCATGCAGCTAAACTGGTGGGAACGTTCAATAAAACATTGTTTTTGTAGGTTGCTTTATTGGACATTGTACCTTCCGTCAATAACATATATTTAAACAAATGGTATCGAACGTACAGCTGGTTTGAGATAATCTTTACTGCCTCATTTTAGAATCTTTTGTTAAACCCCTTTACGTTGTACACGTACGTTCACATTTTTTTTGTGGCGACATAACTTAAGTTATATCAACTTATTTTATACCACCGGCCACGAAAGATGACTGAGCTAAGCGAGGAAAGTCCTGTTAAGTGCCTTTCCCAAGGGCCCAAGATCGGTGGCACGTCAGGACTCGAACCCGGGACCTGTTGGTTCCGAGTCGAGCACTCTGCCGTTACGCCACGCGACCTCACGTTCAAATTTCTTTAAATGCTGGAAGATCGTCAATGGTTGGTGTTTTTACCACACCCGTTCGCAAAGGTATGCAGGCGGCCTGAACCTTTCCGACCTCTGGCAAATACTCCGTCATCCGTGCGTGAGAAACACACGGCAGCCATACTTGAACTGTGTCCCGTGACGTCACAAGGTAGGGCCTACCATGGGGGTTACCACTTCACACATTCCTTAAGTAATCTTTATCAGCATTTCTACTTCAGCCCCTTTTGAAAGCTTGATTACAGTTCGGTAACGCTAAACAGTCATAATAATTGTAACGGGTATAGGACTATTTATGATCGATATGAAGTTTAAGGGTTCCTATAAAACCCCAATAGGACCACAAAGGAGGAAACGATATACTACCAAAAAAAGAAGACGAAGCGCAAGTCTACAGTCAGCCTAACAGGTAGGAGGGCTAACATTACACCGGTAACCGACACCCTAGCGTTGTAAGTAACATATATATAAACATAACACCCATGCTGCACGTTGTAGACTTCACGAAAGCATTCAAGTCGCTCGTGCTAGTGTTTCGCAACTGCGAAGCTAAGTGGTCGTGAGAGTTTGTTTTAGGCCAGGAGTTTTGCAAATGGCGCGTATACGTATTTGCTTAGCCATGGCTAGCGGAAAGCTAAACACACGTAGTTTACTGAGTTGACATGGTGGCACAGTTTCTCTTGAAATCGTGATACTTCTTGTAAGTTTCCTGTCATGATTCTGTTTTATCGTTTTAACCGACGTTTGTATAAAAACATGTATTAAACACTGTGAACAGTTTTGACAAAATACTAGGATTCTATTTTAAGTTGTGTTGGAAGAAAGTATCGAAGGCAACAGCTTGTCACTAGATCGATGCAGCTGATATGGGTTCTATTGTGTGTTTTTAATCATTGGTTTTTACGTATTCAATAGTGTTGGGTGACATCTTTCTCACGGAATTCGTTCGGTGAGAAATCCACATATAATATAAAAGGTCTTGAAATTCAGGAATTTTACACATGAAAGTGACAAAAATTCAAATGCGAAAATTTAACTTGAGAAAATACTTTTAAAAAAAACAGAATACTTAAATTTCCAACACGGTAATTTGTAATTTTAAGTCCATGTCATGTAATATTTTAGGAGGCAGAACTAAACAGAAATCTACCGTAGAAAATACTAGTGTTATTTTAAACGCTAACACTGAAGAGTTGAAAGTTGACAACAACTTAAACTAATCGATATGCTTGTTGTTTCAGCGCTTATTGCGTTGTTTTTATACTAATAAGTTAAGAAATTGTAACATAACTACATGTCGTAATCGTCCAATTTAGGGGGCATCAGTAACAGGACAAGAAAAGGATAACATTTTTGGTCAGTACATACAACACAGCGGAGTAGAATTTCCCCATTTTGTACATGTGGCCCCAGAGTATACATATCTAGGGGACTATCGCCCATTCATCGTCCACCAACCCGTTGCTAGGATACGGGTCTTTGGTGGCAAAGTATGGCGCGAAAGTGTCGCCCTTAGCAAACGGCTTCGGCCTTGGAGTTTTTGTGTGGATAGAGAACGTGCATGAAAAATCAGGATTCTAACAAGACTAGTTGTCGTGTTCTTGTTAGTTTCGTAGATATGCGATTTTCCAGATTGGGAAAACAGTGTAGGTGTTATTAGTGGTTTCGAAGCATGGTATGGTGGCATTCTTTGCATCCGTCCTTAAATATTATAAAAACTCTGACAAAGATAGAGTGCATGTTTTCCATAAAATTATAACTTTATTTGCTTGAGTTATAAGCAAATAAAGTTTGGAATCACATGAAAACGTAAAATGTCGGTTCTGTATTCACGGTCAAGTCCGAGTGCTAACGAACAGTAACGAAGAGACACGAACGCCGCCCGAACTGCCTGTCCTAAATTTATGTCACAAAGTGTGACCATTGACCACATATGCATTCTTTATGATCACAGGATGAAAAAAATGCAACATCATCGACGTTTTCTATTATCTTAGGTCTCATTAGCCTACTCAGAGTGTGTTGGTCCCAGTCCTTAAAGAAACAGTATATAACTCATTTACATAATTTTGCCACCCGAACGCATCTTAAACCCAGAATAATAGCCCTGTCAACAACACACGAAAGATACTCAGATTTAAATCCAAGTTCTTAACGTTAAGTCACCAAAAATATTTTTTTTGAATATTTTTTTTGATCTTTCATTAGCTCGAAGTTTCGACCGAGACGTACACTTATTTTTTCAGTGGTTAGTTCCTTTGTTTATTTTTCCACCCTCTGTAACTGCAAAGCAAACACTCAATAAAGCACCCCTGGCCTGGTGGACAAACATCGTAACTCAGTAGCTATGAGGGCAGACGTCAGTATTGGGTCACTGTGGGCGCTTGTAGTTAGTGTGTACCGATTCGTTGGTTAGCCTCCATAGCGTGCCAAAAACTGGGGGTTTGGGGGGTCTTCAGGGTCTTTGGGATCTTTTATGTGCTATTTTCTGATTGCATATAGACAACATACAGTGCCGGCGTGGTTTTTAGAACTGGGCTAATTTGAAAACAGCCGAAGACCACCAAACCCCCAGTTCTATAAGCCTGCTACGGAGGCTATTCGCTGGCACGGTTCCGGACTTGTAAAATGTTCAAAAGGTTCAAGCTAAAAAAAAAAAAAAACTACCAAAAAGTCAAGAACCAATTCCGGAGCTATCACAAAAAAAAAA